GCGCCTCTTGGGCTGTCTTGGGCCGTCTTGGGCCGCTCCTGGGGCCGTCTTGGGTGCCTCTTGGGCCGTCTTGGGCGCCTCCTGGGCCGTCCTGGGGCCGTGCTGGTGCGTCTTGGGACCGTCTTGGGGCCCTCCTGGCCCGTCTTGGGGCTCTCTTGGGGTCCTCTTCGGCCGTCTTGGAGCAGTCGGGGGGACTTCTTGGGCCGTCTTGGAGCGTCGGGAAGCCGAAGAGGCGAGGAGGCCGAAAACATCGAAAAACACAACAGAAATCGACGATTTCTGTCGCTCGGGGCCCTCTTGGGAGGCCTCTTGGGAGGCCTCTTCGGGCGTCTTGGACGCCTCTTGGGCCGTCTGGGGCGAATCTCGGGCGTCTTGGGCCCATCTTTAAGCGTGCCGGGGCTCTCCGGGGCCGTCTTGGGGGCTTCGGGGGGCCCTCTCGACATGTCCTGGAGCCTGCCTGGGCGGCCTGGGGCGGCCCGGGGCCAGCCCGGGGCGGTTTCGGTGCATTGGGGCCTGCGCCCTTCTGGCACGCACTGGGCCCTGCAATGTAGTAGAGACTAGTATGAACCCGTGGATTAAATCCACGGCATGCTGATCCTGGGACTCGCACGCCGTAGGTAACCAGCTCGTCAAAGTTGAACAGCTCGGGCGTCCCTGGGGCGGCACGGGCGACCTTCGGAGGCACATGTGACGGTCACGGGGGAGGTGGGAGGGGACGGCGTGGATGGAGGAGGTGGCGGTTGGAGGGGGAGGTGGGCGAGGGATGCAGGCACGCAGGCCTGAAGGCAGGAACGCGGTTGTGGAGGCGATGCCAATGGAAACACACCAATCTAGGCACGACATGGTGTGGACAGAAACTGTTTCTCACGCCGCGCCCTGTGTCCATGATAGCTTCAGCGGGGCGGGCCGCCGTGATGATTTTATCTGCTCGTCGTCGGGGCCGAATGATAATTAGATCTGGTAGCGTGGTGAGAATGGAGCTGGTGGGCGCGGCCTAACGAGTCCCGCAAGAGGGCGCCGAGACGGCCCAAGACGTCTCCAGGACGGGCCAAGAGGCTTCCCAGACGGCCCAAGAGCGCCCCACGAATTCCCTAAGACGGGCCCCGGTGCGAGGACACGAATCGACCTTTCGAGCGCACCGCCCCAAGACGTCCCCAAAAGTCCCAGAGATGGCTCCCAGAGGGTCCAAGAGGCCCCCCAGACGACGCTGGAAGTTCGACGCTCCCCAAGAGCGAAGCATCCAAGGCCTCTTGGGGGCCATTTGGGGGCCTCTTTCCGTCCTCCTGGGGGTCTCTCGGGGCCCTATGGGGCCGTCTTGAGCGCCTCTTGGGCCGTCTTGGGGCGATGTGGAGCCGTCTTGGACGCCTCTCGGGCCATCTTGGGGCCGTCTTGGGGCCATATTGGGCCGTTACTGGTTGTTCTTGAGGCTGTCTTGGGTGCCTCTTGGGCCGTATCGGGCGCCTCTAAAGCCGTCCCTGGGCAGTCTAGGGCCGTTTTGGGGCCCTCCTGGGGGCGTCTTAGGGGTGATCTGGGAGGTTTGTACGTCGATCCGTCTTGGAGACTGACAGCGCAGACGAAAAGAACGGACATTGGAGAAATATGCGTGTTCCGGAAGGGAATGGGACGATGTTTGCCTCTTGGGCTCTCCTGGGGGTCCTCCTGGGCCGTCTCGGGAGCCTCATTGCCGTCCTTGGAGGCCTCTTGGACCATCCTGGGGCTCGCTTGGGGTCCTCTTGGGGCGTCCGGGCGCCCTCTTGAGCGTCTCTGAGTCGTCTTGGGGCCGTCATAGGGCGCTATCGGGGCTGTCTTGGGTGCCTCGTGGGCCGTCTCGGGCGCCCCCCGAAGCCGTCTTGGGCCGTTCTGGAACCCTCCTGGGTGCGTCTTGGGGCGTCTTGAAGCGATCTTAGGGTCCTGTACAGCCGTCTTGGAGACTGCGCAGACGAAAAGAACGGACATAGGAACATGTATATATATATATATATGTATGTATGTATGTATGTATGTATGTATGTATGTATGTATGTATGTATATATATATATACACTAGAACCATCGCGCGCGCTTCGCGCGCGCTCAGGTTCTAGCAGGCCCCAGGCCTTGACGAATTCACTGCTCCACTGAAGTAGTGGACCACAATACACGCATTCCAATCTGCATTCCGAAAAGGCTACGAGGAAGATGGTTGTGTAGAGGGGCGGAGGCCGTATGAATCGGGTTCCCAGAAGGCCTTCTGGGAGCATGGGTTTGGGGGCGTCTTGGGGAGCCTGTTGGTGCGTGCCGTCGTCGTCGTCGTCGTTGTCGTAAGGTCGTCGTTGTCGTCGTCGTCTTCGTCGTTTCGTCGTCGTCGTCGATTCAAGAGGGCACTTGGGGCAACTTTGTGCGAAACGATCTGCGGAGGGCCGCGAGAAGGCGATCAGTCATGTTCCCAATCAACTTCCCAGACAGCTCTCCTGTAGCATGATGGTACTTCGAAGCCTCTGGAGACTCGCGGGCCCATGATGAACCATGTCCCCAGAAGGCCTTCTGGGCACATGGTTTGTTGGGGTGTGTTGGAAGGTCTCTTGGGCGTTCCCTGGGGACCCCTTGGGGGCCTCCCGGAACTCTCGGGCCCATGATGAGCCATGTCCCTGGAAGGTTTTCCGGGGATATGATTTCTTGGGGTGTGTTGGGGAGCCTCTTGGGCGTTCCCTGGGAGCCCCTTGGGGGTCTCTTGGGGCTTCCTGGGCGCCTCTTGGGCGCCTCACGGGGGTTCGTGGGAGCCTCTTGGTGACCTCCGGGGGCCTACAGGCGGCCTAGGGCCAGAGACCTCGAAATATCGGTTGGCGGTCCCCCTCTGGGCCCTCTCTTGGAGAGCTCTTGGGGCACAGTTGGGTTGTCTGGGGAGCCTCCTGGGCCGTCTTGGGGCCCTCGTCGGGGCCTCGTGGCCCGTCTTGGAGCGATCTGAAGGGCCTCCGAGCGAGGCCGTGAGGGAGCGCTGGGAAGCGGGGAAAGCGAGAACGCCTAAATCCTTCAAAAACCATCGGAAAATTAGTGAATCTTGCCTCCCATGGCCCTCCTGGGACGTCTGGGGGGCTTCTTGGGCCATCTTTGGGCCATGGTGGGGGTCTGGGGTCGTCTGGGAGCCCTGTTGAGGCCCCTATGGGCTGCTCCTGGGGCGTTTTCAGGGAGCCACTGGAGGTTCTATCAAACCATCTGGGGCCTGTCTGGGACTGGCTTGGAGCCCTCTTGGTCAGTCTCGGTGCGCTCGTCGCGGCCGCTTAGGTCACCTTGGGGCGATCGCACACGTGCCCAGAGCCGCGTAGAGTCGTTCTGAGCCCGACCCTGCGAGGCACGGCGGAATGCATGGCAGCGCTTGTTCCTTGAGACCTCACGGCTCTGCCAAGGACTGCGAACTGCGCAACCGTCGCCACTTTCGTGCGCTCCTGTGAGGCACGGCGGTGCAAAGCCAACCGGATCCCTTCGAGACCTCGCGGTTCCGTAGGGGTCTGCTAACTGCGCAAGAATAGCCACTTTCGTGGGCTCCTGGGAGGAAAGGCGGAGTGCAAAGCCACGCGGGTCCATTTGAGACCTCGCGGCTCCCTCGAGGGCTGCGTAGTGCGCAACCGTCGCCACTTCCGTGGGCTCCTGGAAGGCACGGCGGAGTGCAGGGCACCGCAGATCCCTTTGAGACCTCGCGGCTCCGTCGGGGGCTGCGGACTGCGCAAGAATAGCCACTTTCGCGGGCTCCTGGGAGGGAAGGCGGAGTGCAGGGCCACGCGGGTCCATTTGAGACCTCGCGGCTCCCTCGAGGGCTGTGTCGCCACTTCCGTTGGATTCTGGGAGGCACGGTGGAGTGCAGAGCCACGCAGATCGTGCATAGCTCGCAATGCGTTCTCTTGTATAAGGGGCATTACCTAGTCGCCTTGCGCGGAGAAGGGCATAGGTACGTCTCGGGTATTTTTCTGTGTGAGGGGAGGCGAGAGAGAGAGAGGGAGAGAGAGAATACGAGAGAGAGAGAGGGTATGTGTGTGTGCTGCCGCATGCCGCCGCCTGTGCATACTTGGTGCTGGTTGCCGCAACAATCTAAAGAAGTGTTGCTCTTCATCTGGTGCTTGTTGTTGCGTGATGTTGTTCAACGCTGCTGCGTGCTGCTGCTCGGTGGTGGTTACTGCCGCCCGCCTGCTCCTGACTGCTGCTCACAGTGTGTGCCGTTGGTGATGCTTGCCTCTGCAGGCTGCTGCTGCTGGCTGCTTTTGCTCGCTGCTTGCGATGTGCTGCCGCCGCTGCTGCTTGCTTCGCGCTGCTGCTGCCGTTCGGTGTTGCTGCTTAGTGCTCGCTGCTCCTGCCTGCTGCCGCAGACTGCTGCTGGAGACAGGATCTGGTAGCGAGGAGCAGGGAGCGAGGAGTCGGGATCGAGGAGGGATAAACGGGGAGCAGTCACCGATAAACGAGGAGCGATGGGCAATGAGCGAGAAGAGAGGAGCGATGGCCGACGAGAGAGGGACCCGGAGAGAGGAGGGAGAGCCGAGGAGGGAGGAGGGGGGAGGGGGTTGTGAGGTGCCAAGGAGGAGGAGCGAGGGCCTAGGAGAGAGGAGCGAGGAATGAGAAACAAGGAGCAATAGGCCAGGAGAGATGGGCGAGGAGCTATGAACAGCGGGCGAGGGGCAACGAGCGAGAAACAACGAGATATGAGGGAGGCTTGGAACAGGGACCAACACACGAGGGAGGCTTGAGGTGTGGCCGAACACTTGGTCTCTGCTTTGGTCCCTCATGGGGCCCTCTTGGACCGGGGCCTTATTGGTGGTTCTTGGGCTCCATTAGGGCACATCTCGGCCTCTTAGGACCATCTTGATGCCGTTCTGGGAGGTATGAGGCGGCTTTGGGCGGTCTTGGACCGTCTTGCGGCCTCAGTGGGTCAATCTGAACATCAGCAAGGGCCATCTTGGGCTGAGCCGTCTCTGGGCGAGTTGGGGGCGCCCTGGATCTCCAGAAGGCTCCCTTTGGGCTAAGATGGGGGGCGCGATGTAACGTCCTGCTCTCGCCTCGCCTCGCACATCTCGCTGAGCAGCGCCAGAGCCCGCTGCCACTGCTCGCCCTTCTCGCACGCGCTGATCCCGGCGTTGTAGCTGATGACTAGGGCTGACCCGTGGACTACCGTCCAGGAATGCCAGAGGATTGAGCGTGCGCTGGTTGCTGCTTATTGCTTCAGGGTGCGCTGCTTGCTTGATGATCCTGACGGCGTCTGGAGCAGCAGCAGCAGCAGCAGCAGCAGCAACAAATCCAGCACCATCGGCAGTAGCAGCAGCAACAGCTGCAGAAGCAACTCCAGCAATAGCAGAAACAACGCGGACCTCGGGGGGCCTCCCGGGGGCCTTCTCGCCCTCGTCCTCCTCGTCCTCGTCGTCGTCGTCGTCGTCGTCGTCGTCGTCGTCGTCGTCGTCGTCGTCGTCGTGGTCGTGGTCGTCGTCGTGGTGATCGTCGTCGTCGTCGTCGTCGTCGTCGGCGTCGTCGCCGCTGTCGTCGTTGTCGTCGTCGTCGTGGTCGTCGTGGTCGTCGTCGTGTCGTCGTCGTCGTCGTCGTCGTCGTCGTCGTCGTCGTCGTCGTCGTCGTCGTCGTCGTCGTCGTCGCCGTCCTCCTCGTCCTCATGCTCCTCCTCCCCTCCTCTCGCCCTCCTCCTCCGTCTTATCCCCTTCCTCCTGTCCAGCCTGCTGCTTGTCGTGCCAGCAGTGCCGCGTGCTGTAGCAGGCTGTTCCCAGCGGAGGCATCGGGGAAGCGGCAGGGGGGCCCTCCGATACCTGGGAGGGGGTCCTCGTGGGGCTCTGTGGGAGCCTCGAGCCTCTGGGAGCCTCTTGAGACTTCTTGGGAGCACCTCTGAAGCCTTCTGGGAGCCTCTGGAAAGCGCCCGGGGGCCTCCTGGGAGCGCCTCCGGAGCCTTCGGGGGCGTCTTGGAGCCTTGCTGGCCGTGGAGGGGCCCGGAGGGGGGGGAATCGCTCCGAACTGGACCCTCTTGGGCGTCCCTTGGGGCCGTCTGGGGGCGTTCTTGGGCCGTCTTGGGGGCCCCGGGAGCTCGATCGGGGGTCTCTGGGGCCGTCTTGGGGACTCTCGCCTCCGGGCAGCATGGGCCCTATTTCGGACGCCCGCGGTGCCGTGGTGGGCGTCTTGGGGCGGGCGGGAGGAGCACCACCGGAAACGTCAAAAACTCTAGAGAATATCGATAGTTTTGCGGCCTCGGGGCCCTCGTGGGGGTCCCCTGGGAGCTCCGTGGAAGCTCGCGGGGGCCCTCCGAGCCCATCCTGGGGCCCTCTCGGGCTCGCTGGGGATCTTTCAGGAGACTATCGAGGCCTCTGTCGGGGCCCTCATGGGCTGTCCCGGGGCTGTCCCGGGCCAGGACGGCGTCGTGTCCGATTCGAGCCAAAATCCCGGGGGGAGTTTTTCTGGACCTGTTCGCAGAGCTTCTCCAGGGCGACCGAAACTTGAGGAAAACAGATTCACTGGAGAACCTTGTCGAGGACTCCGGCTCGAATCGGACACCTCCGAACCGTCGTCGTCCTCGCCGTCGTCGCTGTCGGAGCCGTCGTCGTCGTTCCGACGGTGTCCGATTCGAGCCAAAATCCCGGGTGGAATTTGTGCTGAACGTCGTTTGCAGAGCTCCTCAAGGGCTGCCGAAATGTAGAGAAACCGCATTCACTGGAAAACCTTGTCTGGGATGTTGGCCCGACTCGGACACGTCGTCGGCATCATCATGGTGCTATTGCCAGTTTCCCCTCTTGGTGCCCTCGTGGGTCCCTCTTGGGGCCGCATGGGCCGACTTGGTTCCCTCGTGGGCCGCCTTCAGGCCGTCTTGGGCTGCCCGGGGGCCCTCTCGGGGGCCTGTTGGGCGCCTTGGGGCGATGCGGGGGGCCTCGTGGGCCTTCATGAAGCATCGGAAGCTCGAAAAGGAAAGAACATCGAAATCATTGAATCACAAATTACGCTACCGAGGAACCCCACATACATATATTAGGGCTGGAGTGATGATTGCTGAAGTAAGCATGTGGGAATGATGTTGGTGGCCGTCGCCCCGCCGATACCTTTGGTGACGCCACCCAAGAGGAAAGGTGGAAGAGGAGAAGCGCCGCGCCAGCCACACTTCGGCGTCGAGAAGTTGCCACGCCTGCCACGCTTTGCGAGCCCGAGACGGATAGCGACCGCACCCCCTGCGCACCCCGTCTGGCGTCGAGAAAGCGCCACGCTGGCTATGCCCTGGACGACCGTCGTGCATAGAGGCCGCGCTGAGGGACCACCCCCTGCGCACCCTCTATGGTGTCGAGAACATGCCACGCCTGCTATGCCCTGGACGACCGTCGTGACCCCCTGCGCACCCCCTATGGTGTCGAGAAAGTGCCACGACTGCTATGCCATGGACGACCGGCGCGCATAGCGGCCACGGTGAGGGACCACCCCCTGCGCATCCCCTACATCCCCAGGACGAAAGTTTTTTTTTTTTTTTCAATTTCATCTTGGGCCCGCAGCGAAGGTTTGAAGTCTTAAGCAGACGCGTGTGACATACCCGCCGTTGGATCCAATGAAGCGGATCCAATGTTGGTTTTGGTTTGTGTTTCGGCGGATCCGGTTTCCGCCCGCGCGGATCGAATTTCGGATTTGCTGGATCCGTGTTCGGTCTTATTGTTCACGGCGGGTCCGATTTCTACCTGTTCTATATATATACTAGATTAAAACAGGGAGCCGAAAGAAATCGGATCCGCGGACCTCGCAAACCGCCCGTGTTAAGATTCTACGGGGGAGGGGGGTTCCGTAATCAACGTTCCACGATGGGCGCTGCGTCGTCTCGCGCACTCCCATCAACTCCCCGCGCGAGCGGGCCCCATTCAACATGAATACATACATCCTTCTCCCCCCGGTTGCTGCAATCTGCTCGTCTGGTCGCCGTCCGTTCGACGGCGCCGACGTTGTCTCGCGAACTCCTCATGGCCATTTGCACCTCAATAGGAAAATCTTTCGTCCTGTGTAAGTATGGTGTCGAGAAAATGCCACGCCTGCTATGCACTGGACGACCGTCGTGCATAGCGGCCGCGCTGAGGGATCACCCCCTGCGCACCCCCAGTGGTGTCGAGAAAATGCCACTCCTGCTATGCCCTGGACGACCGTCGTGCATAGCGGCCGCGCTGAGGGACCACCCCTGCTCACCCCCCATGGTGTCGAGAAAATGCCACGCCTGCTATGCCCTGGACGACATGCGCGCATAGCGGTCGCGGTGAGGGACCACCCCCTGCGCACCCCCTCTGGTGTGGAGAACATGCCACGCCTGCCATGCACTGGACGACCGTCGTGCATAGCGACCGCGCTGAGGAACCACCCCCTGCGCACCCCCAAGGGTGTCGAGAAAATGCCACGCCTGCTATGCCCTGGACGACCGTCGTGCATAGCGGCGCCGGTGAGGGACCACCCCTTGCGCACCCCCTATGGTGTCGAGAAAATACCACGCCTGCAACGCTCTCCGACCCTGGCACGCATAGAGACCGCGTTGAGAGATGCCACGCCTGCTATGCACTGGACGACCGTCGTGCATAGCGGCCGCGCTGAGGGACCACCCCCTGCGCACCCCCAATGGTGTCGAGAACATGCCACGCCTGCGATGCCCTGGACGACCGTCGTGCATAGCGGCCGCGCTGAGGGACCACCCCTTGCGCACCCCCTATGGTGTCGAGAAAGTACAACGCCTTCAACGCTCTCCGACCCTGGCACGCATAGAGGCCGCGTTGAGAGACCACCCCTTGCGCACCCCCTCTGGTGTCGAGAAACTGCCGCGTCTGCCACGTGCCCCTCGATGTGGGGCCTGCCACGCTCTCCGACGTGTGGTGTGTGTGGTGCGATGCGGTCACGCCTGCCGTGCCCTGCGCGCTAGCCCTGCGTGCTCTGCTGTGCTGAGCTGTGCTGTGCTGTGCTGTGCCGAGCTGAGCTGTGCTGTGCTGTGCTGAGCTGAGCTGAGCTGAGCTGAGCTGTGCTGTGCTGTGCTGAGCTGAGCTGTGCAGATCTGTGCTGAGCAGTGCTGTGCTGTGCTGCGCTGTGTGAGAAGGGGGGGAGGGAGGAGGAGGTGAAGGTGAACGCGGGTGCGGCGCGGCAGGGAAGACAGCCAGAACCCCACGAAGCATGTGGGGAGCAACAGGAAAGCATCGATGTTGGCTTCTCTGGGACCTCTTGGGAGGCCTCTTGGGACTTTGTTGGGCCGTCTTGGAGCGTTGAGGCCGTCGTGCGCGCCAATTCGGCCGTCTTTGGGATGCTCTGGGCAATACGAATCCCTCTTGGGGCCCTCTTGGGGCCGTCCTTAGCCGTCTTGGTCCTCGCTGGCCGCCTTGAGGCCGTCTTGGGTTGCCTGGGGGCCCTTCGGGGGGCCTGTCGGCCCGCCTTGGGGCGATATTGAAGGCCGTTGGGCCAGCATGAAGCATATCGGACGCCAGAACAAGCGATAACGTCGAGCGAAAACACCGATTTTGGCTTCGCTGGGCCCTCTTGGGGTGCCTTCGGGGACTTTCTTGGGCCGTCTCGGGGGCCTGCTGGGCCGGTGGGGTCGTCTTGGGCGTCTCTTCGGTCGTCTTTGGGCCCAGCTGGGCCGTGTATCGGGCATGGCCGCGAGGCCCGCAGGATTGTCGGAGCTGCCCTGGGGCCGCTTCTCGGCCTTCCGGGGCCTCTCGGAGGGAAAAGGGAGCGATTGGTCCACGCTACCTTCTCGATGGAGGGCGGACCCGTGGACGAATTATGTCCACGAGAGCACGTCGGCGAGGCTACCGGGGTCTAGGCGGAGATGCGGCCGACAGGCTGTCAGGATGGCGTTGCCGCTGTGCTAGTCGTCAAGTCCTGGTCATTGCCGTCGGGTCGTCGGGTCGTCGAGTCGTCGTCGTCGTCGTCGTCGTCGTCGTCGTCGTCGCCGCCGTCGTCGTCGTCGTCGTCGTCGTCGTCGTCGTCGTCGTCGTCGTCGTCGTCGTGGTCGTCGAGGTCGTCGTCGTCGTCGTCGTCGTCGTCGTCGTCGTCGTCGTCGGTGTCGTCGTCGTCGTCGTCGTCGTCGTCGTCGTCGTCGTCGTCGTCGGTGTCGTCGTCGTGATCGTCTGCATCTTCGTCGTCATCTTCGTCGTCGCCGTCTGCGTTCGGCGAAAATGCACGTGAGAATGAACCCCTGCACGTGTGTTTGTTTTCGGTGCGCACGGCCAAAACGGGTCCGAGAAGGCTTCTCCGAAGCCGTCCTGCAAATTTCTGGCGCTGGAAAGCTGAGAAGCCAAGCACATTACTGAAATGTTTTAGCGTCCCAGAGCTATGCTGGACGGCTCCTAGGAGACCTCTTGGAGCCAAGGTGGGTACCTTCGGGGTCTCTTGGAGCCGCTTGGAGTCTCTTGAGTCCCTCTCGGGTCGCTCGTTGAGCTAACTTTGGCCATCTCAGGCCCTCTCGAAAACCACATTCGTGCCGTTCGGGCGCGACGCACTTGGGACCCTCTTGAGCCGTCTTGAAGCGTCCCGGGGGAGTGCCAGGGCCGACTGGGGAAACTCTTGATTCACTTGCGCGGGCGTCCCTCTGGCATGCGCTGCGTCCAGCATTACAATAAGTTCATCGGGGTGACGTTGGGCTCCACTTTCGCCTCCACCATCTCGCTGAGCAGCTTCAGAGCCCGCTGCCACTGCTCCCCCTTCTCGCACGCGCTGACACCAGCGCTGTAGCTGATTATGGCTGACCCGCGGATTACGTCCAAAGAATCTGCACGAACCGGCACTTGATTGTTGGCATGCGGCCAGAAGGCTAAAATGATAACGTGGGGCTCGACCCTCGCACTCCGCGCGCATGCCACTGCATGCTGCTGCGTGGTGTCACTGTTGCGTGCTGTTGGCAATGCATGCCACTTCTGGCTGTTGTTGCTACTTGTGGCTGCAGGGTGATGCTGATGGTCAGCTCTGCTTGGTGCGTGCTGCTGCCCGCTGCCTGCAGCTGCTTGCTGTTGCTGTGTGCTGCCGCTGCTGCTGCTGCCTGCTTCGTGCTGCGTGCTGCTGCCGATCGCTGCTGCTGCTGCTGCTGCTGATGCTTGAAGCTGCAAGGCTGTGTGTTCTGGCCGCTTCAGCTTGCAGGCGCAACCTGCTGCCAGGGGTGATCGAGGAGTCAGGATCGAGGAAATCGAGGAGGAAGGGGAGAGAAGCGAGGACCAAGAAGGCAGGATTGACGGCCGAGGAGAGAGGGGTGGAGGGAGGAGGGGAGAGCTGAGGAGGGAGCAGGCGGGAGGGGGGAGGAACCTCTGGGAGGTCTCTTGGGGCCTCGTGAGGGGAGGCCTCTCAGCATGCGTCTCGGTGGCCTCTTGGTGTTCTGTTTGTGCCTTCTTGAGGCCTTCGTTGGGGCTTCTTTGGCTACCATGGGCACTCCCAAGCCTCCTGAGGTCATCTGGGCGGCCCTTGACGCCACTGGGAGCTGTTTTTGGGAACCCCTGGGGCGTTCGGGGGCCCTGGGGCTCTCTTTGTACGTTCCTGGGCCGCCTTGGGCCCGTCTTGGGGCCATCTTGGCGGCCTCTTTTGCCGTCTTAGGGGCCCTGCTGGGCCGTCTTGGAGCCCTGTGGTGCCGTCCTGGGACTCCCCGGGAAGCCTGTTCGGCCGTCTTGGGTCGGTCTCGGAAGCTTCCTGTACCGCCCTGGGCGCGCCCCAGGACCCGCAACAAAGGCAAGCATGCGAAACTCACTCGAAGAGCATAAGAGTTGTGTTGCTCCGAGACGCTGGAAGTCCTCTTCGGGATCCTCTTGGAGGCGTTTGGGGGCGGCGCCCCCAAACGCCGAGCACGCCGCGTGCTCGGGGTCTCTTGGGTCATCTTGTGCCGCCTTGGCGCTCTGAGGCTCTGTCGGAGCTCTCTGGGACCGTCTTTGATGGGCCCACCACCACCACAAGTTGGAGGGGGGAGGGGGTCCTCCTCCTCCTCCTCCTCCACCTCCTCCTCCTCCTCCTCCTCCTCCTCCTCCTCCTCCTCCTCCTCCTCCTCCTCCTCCTCCTCCTCCTCCTCCTCCTTCCCCCCTCCAACTTATTGGTGGTGGTAGTGGAAAGCAGGCCCGTCCGTCTTCTTGGAACACCCCTGGGCGGTCCGGCGCCTCTCTCGGGACGCCTTGGAGCGCTCTTGGGCCGTCTTGGAGCGCCCCGGGGGCGGCCGGGAGCGCGCCGGGGCCGGCCAGGCCGGCGCCCGGTTTTGGACTACTTGAAGTAGGGTCAAACATAGGATTAAGAAACTCATCAAGAAAGAACGCTCTTACGTTTGAACAAGCGCGCTGGGGCGAAATCGTCCTTCTTGCAGCGGGATCGTCCCGGATCGGCGGCACCGGTCTGTGGCCTTATCAATTAAGAAAGCTGGCCCAGCTTTTCAGAAGTTTCTGAAGGAAACCCTGGGCCAGCTCTTGGAGCCAGGAACGTACACTGCTCATTTCAAGGATCCAAGGCTACTAGTTAATTTCTTTCAGCAACTGAGCCAGCTTTCCGGCAAGTTGGTTAAGAAACGCTGGGCCAGCTTTTCGGGGGGAGGCTTCTTAATCATAAGCGGGACCGTAGATGACGTTAGCCTTCAGCTTCGCCTCCCGCATCTCGCCGAACAGCGCCAGGGCCCGCTGCCACTGCTCGCCCCCAGCGCTCGCGCTGATCCCGGCGCTGTAGCTGATGACGTCAGGATCCTGGTTCGCCTCCCGCATCTCGCTGAGCAAGGCCAGAGCCTGCTGCCACTGCTTGCTTTTCTCGCACGCGCTGATCCCGGCGTTGTAGCTGATGACGTCGGGCTCCAGCCTCGCATCCCAGATCTCGTTGAGCAGCGCCAGAGCCTGCTGCCACTGCTCTCCTTTCTCGCACGCGCTGACCCCCGAGTTGCAACTGACTAGTGTGTGTGTGTGTGAGTGTGTGTGTGTGTGCGCCCGTGGGTTCATCTGGTATGGCTCTGCCAAGGGGTCTCAGGCCATCCTGCACGTATCGATGTTCGCGTGCCTCTCGGCGTGACACCTTATCGCTACCATTCGTGCGGTGGCGACCCTCACAACACCCACGGCGTAGGCATCGTGCTGCTGAGCGTCGCGTGTTTAGCCGTCTTGGAGCCATCTTGGGGCCATCCTGGAGGCCAGCGAAGGGTTCCTTGGACTCTCTCGGCGGCGTCTGGGACCCTGTCAGGGGGCCGCCGTGGGCCTGTTGGGCCCTCTTGGAAGCCTCTGGTGCCCCCCTTTGAGCCGTCCGGAGCCGCAACGTGGAGAGTGCCAATCGTGTCGAAGGTCTGAGCCCCTTGAGAGCCTTGCGCGGAGCCATGTCTGGAGCCTCTGGGGGGCTCTGCGCGCAGCCATCTTGGAGCCTCCGGGGGCCACCTCTGGGCCATACTCGGCGCGTGTTCGGGCATCTGGGCCCGTCTTGGAAGCCGGTTCGGCCAGTCGTGGGGGGCGCCTGGAGGCTCTCTTGGGCCGCAAGTAGGCCCGCATGGGGCTCCTCTGGGCGGTCTGGGGGCGTCCTGGGGGCGATCAGCGGCGCGCAGGGGCCCGCGGGGCAGGTTCTGGATTCCTTGCTTCCGGCGCCCTTCTGACACGCACTGCGCCCAGCGTTGCGTGGGAGATGACGTCGGGCTCCAAGATCGCATCACGCATCTCGCTGAGCAGCGCCAGGGCCCGCTGCCACTGCATACCCCTCCCGCATGCGGTGATCCCAGCGCTGTAGCTCATGACGCTGTGCTCCATTTTCAACTGCTTCATCTCATTAAATAACGACAGTGCCCATTGCCATTGCCTGCCGTTTCCGCATGCGCTGACAGTCGCAACGTAGTGGCGTGGGAGGAGTTTCACACCTAATTGGGTTCCTTTGCGGAGCCACTGCAGTGCCGCGTCCCATTGTTTTGTCCGACCATGCTTCTTGACTGCCACCTCCAAGGAAACAACGCCTTCTTGAGACCCTCGTGGGATACAGAACATCCAACAAAGGTATGGTACCACAGCGGCTTGAGGTCAATATGGTCGAGCAAGTACTACAATCGCGCCACAGAAGACCCCCAGACTGCCGACGGGCCCCCAAGACCCGCAGAAGCCACCAGTATCGGCAGGACCCAAAACGCTCAAAATGCAACGCAACATCCATGAAACGTAACGGCCACGAAACGGAATAAACATTGTGCCGGGCCCAAGGTGGTTCTACTGAGCCTTTGCGTAAGTGCACGATGACAGAAACATCGCGCCCGACACGGCCAAAGCGCGTAATGGGCCTCCGCGGGGATTGTGTAAAACCATACTGGTCCGTCAAAAGCAACCCGCATAGCCACGCGCGCACCTGGGACATGTTCGGAGCTTGCCCATTACCAGTTAAGGTACATAAATATCGATCCTGGACAGAGAGGGATAGCTACAAAAGCCTGGCAGGAACGCACTGCAAGAGAACGGGAGATCTGGCCCTGGGGGCTCAGCCTTCCGAGGGAGTTAGCGAGGCGCGACGCTAGAGGCCTCCCAGATGGGGTCGAGGTAGATGTGGTCGGAGGATCGCGCCGAATCGCCGATGCATCGCCGATGCAGCGGCGATGCATTGGCGACGTCGGCGATGCATCGGCGACGTCGGCGTGGAGAAAATCGGATGCCACCTCGAGCCGCATCGCCGATGCATCGGCGATGCGAGGCGACCCTCCGAACCCATCGAGGCCTGCTGTCGGGACCCGCCAAGGAGGGGGACCCCGAGGGGGGGCACGAGCTCGATCCGCCGGGGCACCGAACTGCCGCAAACAGGTGCCCCCCCCCCCCCTGCATGCCCCACCTGTCGGCAACCATCGGGAGCTGCGGACAACTGGGGGGCTTCTGTTTGGGGGGCTCGGTGCCCAAAAAACGATCGAACTCACACCCCCCCTTTGGGCACATCCCCCCCTGCGGGATCCCGATGCAGACGCGCGCCTCTCCTGAGTATCGTTTGACCGATACCCGTCCCCAGCGACGTGGCCTGGGCCCCACTGGCCGAGTTAATCCCCTAGATGTGGATATAGGTCGCTCCCTTCGGGTTTCGAGGGGTGTATCCCCGACTGGGGTGGTAATTTGGTCGGGGTCTCGAAGGGGAGGGGGATGGGGATGGGGATTGGTGAAACGATACCGATCTCCGCCAGGGCCGCGCAGCGGGAAGCGCGGCCCACCACCGGGCCGAGATCCGCTCGACGATCGGACAAAACGCCCGCCCAGAACGGGCCCCGGACCCCTCCCAGGACCCATGAATGCGAAGCCAGCGCGAGGATACAAACGGGTGAGGATGCAGTGGAGGCCAGTCCACAAGAAATCTGCCACAAGCAGACCAACCCCGAGACCCTCGAATGCGCATTGATTCTTGGCTTGGAAACGTCACTCACTCTTCCCATCGCGAAACCATCGAAACCTAAGAAACTCAGGGCACCCTGGAGGCGAGCAGGGCGTTTCTTGGCATGGGTCTCCGCTGCGCATCTCAGATGATGCGTCGGGTGCCGCGGTCTTCGCAGAGCTCGGCGATGGACAAACCTCCCTTTAGTAAACCTCCCCTCAGTGAAAACGGCTTGGGACCGAAACCTACGGACCTGAACCAGCAAAAATGACGGCCGCGACGCCCACTCGCGAACCGAAAACGGCCGATTCCTCAATCGACGTATCAGGGTAGGAGGTCTATCCACCTCCGAAGAGCGTTCCGGAACGCCCTGGAACGGCTCGATCCTCGTCCGGGTCCATCCCGGCCAGCTCCGCGAGCTGCGTCCGGGCGTGGCGGCGGGAGCCTCCGGGGCAGCCACCTGCACGACGCCGACAACGACGACCACTCGTTCGAGCTCCGCCCAGCCGTGGCGACGAGACGCTCCGGCAGCGCCCGGAAGCCTCCGAAACGACGCCGGTCCAGACCCCGACGTCGTGATTTTTTAGCGACGTCGACCCCCAAATGTCTCGAAGCATTCTCCAGGACGAGCTTCTCGTCCGGAATCGTTTTTGATGCTCCCGAGGCTCCCCGGGAGGCCGAAAACAATGCAAAGCCTCCCGTCGTGATTTTTTCCATGACCCGAAAGGGTCTGGGAACGACGTACTCGTCGCCGTCCTCGTCCTCGCCCTCGGGGCGGGGGAGTGCTCTGCGTCGGGCGCGGCCGCGGGAGCGCGCGCACGCTCCGGGACCACGTCCGAGGGGAGCAGCACGCGGTACGACGTGTCCTCGGCGTTTCCGAATGGGAGGGGCAACGACAGGGTGGGTGGGGGTGGGGGGAAGCGAGCTGGAACCGTCGCCATGGGAGAAACGAGTCCTGAGGGAAAAGGGTCCTGAGGTTGTTCGCGTTTTCGGGCTCTCGGGGCCCTCCACGGGCCACGGGACTGTCATGAAGAGGCCTTGGGACACACAAATACATACACACCAATAACAGGATTCCCCATATTTTCCAATATTCTCTGGGTTTTTGTCTTCCCCCCCAATTCCCATATTTTCCTATATTCTCTGGGGAATCGACGATTAAGTGCGTCTGTGTATTCTTTCTCCTCCGGAAACTCGTCCTGGGGGAAGGCCCCCGAGTCGAGGACCCGTTTCTCGCAGGACCCGCTCCCCCCCGTGCTCAAAGTCGGCGAGGCATCGCCGGCAGGCCCCCGATGGCGGATCCGCACGCGCCTGGGCGGGGTGGGGCAACCAGACCCCTGTTGGCGATCAGTGGGCGTTTGCAAGGGCTCCCAACTTCGCGCTTCGCGCTGCGCGAAGCGCGAAGTGCGAATAACTTCGCGCTCTCGCGCCACCCCCCCAAAGGGAGAAAAGGAGGACAAGGAGGAGGAGGAGAAGGAACGAGGACCGCGAAGCGCGAAGCGCGAATAACTTCGCACCCTCGTGGGAGCCCTTGGTTTGGGGGGTCCAGGCGCTGCCCCCGGAGCTCGTGCCCCCGAACGCTGCCCCTGCCCGAGCCCCTCCCCGCCCTCGCCCTCCTGAGCAGGGGCCGACCGTCCCGGCATTCCTATAGGCCTACCACGACATGCTCTTAGAACCCGAACATTCACTTATAACAAAACCACGTTCTTAGAACAGAATACCGATGTGTTAAAACAAGACAGTCTCCCAGCCAGACATGTTCTAAGAAGATTTCGTGGAAACCAAAAACGGTTCTTGGAACAGTGTTTGGTAGGCCTACCAGACGAGGCAGGACGCTTCGCCACTGCTTGACCCTCGTCATTGTCGTCCTCGCCGTCGTCCTCGCCGTCAACCCCCGCCGGCGTGCCTCGGCGTCGGGTGCCCTGCCTGGCGCGAGTGCCCGCCCCGCCTGCACGCTCGAGCCTGTCCCCCCCCCCCCCCCCAATTATCGAATGAGGCCCGCGGACACACGATTCCGCCGACCCTGTCGGCGTGTGCGAGGGGCTTGGCAGGCCCCGAGAGCCTTCCGAAGAGACCCCAAGAAGCATCCCTGAAGACTCTGGCCCACATCTTCGTCGTCGTCGTCGTCGTCGCCGCCGCCACCGCCGCAGCCGTTGTCGTCGTCGTCGTCGTCCCTCTTCAGGGTCGACGGCACCAGCCGTAAGGCCTTCGCAATAAATCCGCCCATCCGGCGTGTGAGTTTCAAAGACCCTAAGATATAACCTGAGCCTCAGTTCTTGAGCTTCAGCTCTGCTGGGGGGGGGGGTGCCCGGGTGGCTCTGCCGGGGTAAGGGGGGGGGGGTCCGAGTCAATTTCGGTGGCAAAATCGGAGCTCCAGCTCACTCCGGGTCGGCCCCTCGCCCTGGAGAGCTCGAACGCGGGCTCCTAAAAACCCAGCGGCCGCCCAGACGGCCCAAGAGGGCCCTGAGTGGCCGAAACATCGCTCCAAGACGCCCAATATGTTCCTCAGACGGCTCCAGAAGACTCCAACGTGCCCTGCCGACACCTCCTACGAGTACCCGAAAAGAGTAAATGTGTCCCATTCCCTCAGGACAGCGTAATTGTTTTGCATTTTCGCTTCTTCGGCCTTCGCAGTGTCCAACACGGCCCAAGAGACCCCCAAAACAGGCCCAGAGGCTCTCAAGAGGGCCCCAAGTCGGCCCAAGAAGGGCCCAAGACGGCCTGGGAGGCCCCCAAGACAGCCCAAGCGGGCCCCAGGACGGGCCCAAGTAGCGCGCAAGAGGGCTCCAGGACGGCACCAGAAGGGCCCAAGACGACCCAAGAGGCGCCCAGGAGGCACCGAAATGGCCCTGGGAGCCCCCCAGAAACCCCGAGAGGCTCCAAGTGGCCCTCAAGAGGCCCCCCAAAGGCGCCCAAAAGCACCCCCGAAGGCTTAAATACTACCTTCTGCACACCCCCAGGAGGCCTCTAGGATGCCTCCTGCAGGCCCTCCAGAAGCCCAAAAGGCCCCCAAGAGGTTCATCAATCACCTCCAAGACACCCCCCTAGGAGGCCTCGATAAGGATGCGGAAAGACTCGGACCCAGATTTTTCACTGCCTAGAAGCGCAGCGCGGAGAAGGGAAACAATCACTCCGCGCTGGGGCGAAAGCGTTCTTCTGACAGCGGGATCGTCCCGGATCGGCGGCACCAGCCAGAGGCCTCTACAATAAACACAAATCCAAGGATTCACAATATTGTGCCATATTTTCGGGATGCTCGTCTTCCCCCCACCTCCCGTATTGTGTCTGTGTGTTTTTGTCCCATCTGACTATCGTCGCCTC